AATTAATTATATCTGTCACATATTCCTGAGAGACCAGTTCCACACCCAGGGACCAGACACGGACATGGTGATATAACCCAGCTCTGTCGGGAGGCAGGGCTGAACCCTGCTGCAGACGGACTGGATGGGACACGGAAGTCAGTGCACCTGGATGGGGCGGGGGCTCGCTGTTTGTCTGGTTTCTGTTTTAGATTTCTCTAATTTTTATCTTCCCTGGACTGAATCTGTGCTGTGAAAGCTATAGAGGGTATAAAAGGTTATAGAAAATTTTAAGTATTTTTATCAACCAAATTACTTTAAAGATGTATACATAAATGGCAGGATATACAATAAAATTCAAGCATAGATTGAGGAGCTGGGAGGATTCTTTATTTTTAATCTCTTACCTGTACTTTTCATATTTTTAATTATTGTCAGTATGGACATTTTATTTATTTATTTATTTTATTATGTTATTACATTGTTCCATTCCCCCTTTATTCCCCTTCTACCTTCATACCCCCTCACACCTGCATTCCCCGTACATCCACCTTCAGTTCATGGCCATGGGTCAATGTATATAAGTTCTTTCACTTCTCCATTTCCTATACTTCATATATTTTTAAAAGACATATTTCCTTTTTTTTAATGATCTGTGTACAGGAAGAGATATTCAAGTCAGTTCATGCCAAGTGTTTGGAGAACTGCATACTGATCACTGCATCATTATGTAGGAGGTTGCAGCCAAAGGGTCCCCAAAAGAAAGATTTGTAATGGAGTTCAGAACTCAGATGTCCAGGAAATATTAGAAAAATATTATAGGATGTCCTCACCCTCCACCCCAGGTGTGGGTTGGGGGAAGGGACAAATAGAGCAGGGCCATTGTGAGCTGTTTCCCATAGCAACAGCCTTGTAGCTACCCTCTGGTGTGGTCTTTTAACATATCTATGGCCTTTGGATGGTTACATAGATATGTTAAATAGCTCTGGCCAAGCTCTGAGCCAGGGAAATGGAAGTAACTTTCCCTGGCTACAGTGCCTGGGAGGCAACTCCCCCTGGTTACAGCACCTGTACCTGAGTGAGAACTTGGAGAAGATTGGCTCCCTGACATGGGGACAAACCTGCCCAGGCCCAGGATGGCAGTCCAATAAAGCTGGAAGGCTTTGAGAGTTCTGGCAGGTGAGGCCGAGTGTGGGAGGAGTCGGAAATGGGGCTGCAGAGGAAGATTGGCTGGGGATTTAAACTCTGGCGCGGCAGCCATTGAGAAGAGATCCATGCGGTTTTGGCTAACTGGAAACTCCTGCAGCCATGTGAGGAGGGGGCAGGTGCCTGGTGCAGACAGGATGGGAGTCTCCGAGGCCGCCTGCCTGACCATAGCCCCATAAACACCGCCAGTGACACAGCTGCCTGTGGCTCCTCTACCACCTGGCTCCCTTGAGAAGGGGCCACCAGTAAGTGACTCGCGAGCACCGGGTCACCGTCCAGGCACCACAGCCACCTCCACACTGCGCCCACACTCACCGCTCGGCTCTTGGAGCCTCAGGCCAACCTTGCAGCCACCTGCTCTGGACCTGGGGCCAGGACATGATAAGCTCCTGGCTAGCCCTCTGTGTGCTGCTGCCGCTGCTGCTGCTGCAGCCACCGCCACCGCTGCTGGCGCCCTTTCTCTCCCAGAAGGGGGCATTCCCCTCACCCCCTGCCTGCAGCCATGAGAAGAATCACCACGAGGCTTCAGCTGGAGATCCTGGCAGCACAACCAATGGTGCTGGGAACTAAGGGAGGCCTGCCAGCTGAGCACAAATTACTAGGAAGTACCAGGAGCTGCCTAAGCCACAGACTTCTATTTCTTTCCCTGAGATATGGTACCCCAGACTGGGCAAAGGGGGGAAGGAAGGACTGTGTATGTTTGTGGGTGTTTCAAGGGACTTTGGGATTTTGACAAAGACACCAAGTCATTACTTTTAGTCTATAACTTGAATAAATAACTCTTTTCTTTTTCACCAATCTCTAGCATGGAGAGCTATAGTTCTCTGGCTTAGGGAAAGGTGAACCTAGTACAGGGGGACCCCAGGAGAAACGGGGGTCAGTTTGGTAGCATTGTGGGACCCTCTTCCCTAGTGGCCAATCAGGGAGAATCATGGGAAACCACATGCACAATAAATAGCTTTAAAGTAATGCAACTACTTGTATATACTCAGTAAAAGCCCACTAAAACTAGCCAGGAAGGATCCGCCCTATAAGAATAAAGTCCCTCCAGCCCATGAGGTCAATCTCTGCTTGGAGTTGCACTGCTCCCATGTTCTCTTCTATGGACTCTGGGTGTTCGGTTCAATTCTTTCTCCCAATCACTAAGAAACTGGTTACGTGTGCCCACTTGTGACAATTACACAGATTTTATTTTTTTGTTCTCCTATCTTCAATTCCACTGTCACTATATTCTCACAGAACAGAAGGGGTCACATATGACATACATGATATATTCATTGGGTAAATTGTAACAGTGGGGCAAAGAACTCAATTGACCTCCAAAGACCAATTCTTTAAAACAAAGACAGACAGATTTAAGAGCTACTCAAGGAAAAGAGGAATCAAAGAGAACAGTAAGAAATTTCCTGAGAAATCTAAATATGGAACTGCCTTTTAACCCAGCATTTCCATTGCTGGAATTATATCCTAAGAATCCTGCAACACCAGTTCAAAAGAACTTATATATGCCAGTGTTCACAGCAACACAATTTACAATAGCCAAGTGCTAGAAATCGCCTAAGTGCCCATCAGTAAATGAGTGGATCAAAAAGCTGTGGTACATTTACACAATGGAACACTGCACAGCAGAAAGAAAGAAGGAACTCTTTCTTACCTTTGGCAACAGCATGGATGGAATTGGAGATTATTATGCTAAGTGAAATAGGCAAAGCAGAAAAAGACCATCTGAGCTCACCTATACACAGAACCTAATCAACAAAACAAAGAAACCAGCAAAATAGAACCAGAGACATGGAAATAAAGAAAACCTGACAGTGACTAGATAGATTTACAAAAACATTTATTTTGTGAAAATGTTTGATGTGAGTGTTTGTATATGTGTGTCTTAGTGTGTAATTTGAGTGGTTGTTTTTGTCAATTATGAGATGGAAACAACATACATTTATAATATTTGGTGAGCTGGAAGTAAAGAACACTCAGTGTAGTAATTGTACTTTGGTAAGTAAGTACAATGTTAGGTAACAAGGTAGGGAGGCACAAAAGCAACATTTTAAAAAGGCCCTTGTTTCTTTCTCAATTATCCAGCCTGTAGGGAAAAACAGATGATAAAAAAATTTTATTATACTTGTCACTTGTTCCTGAGAGACCAGCACCCAGGTCCAGGCAAAGCATGGTGATATAAGCCCGGTCACTGAGGGGACAGTGCTGAACCCTCTGGCGGACAGAATGCAGGCAACAAAAAAATCCGTGATCTGGAACAGGTACAGGTTTTAACTGTGGTTTTCTCATTCCTATTTTAGATTTCTTTAGCTTTTTATCTGTATTTATCTTTCAGCATGTTATAGAACTAATGAAGGGTAAGAAATATTATACAAACTTTAACTTACTTTTATCAATCTCATTATTTGAAAGACATTCATAAATGGCAAGGAAGAATAAAATGTGAGTATTATTTATAAAGGTGATTGGACATTTTTTGTTTTTACTCTCTTACTTGTACTTTTACATATTTTATAAGTATTTTTCATGTGAAGTGAAGCTTTTTTTAAAAAAATATGTCTCTACAAGCACAAATATTTGGACAAGTTCAGACAAGGTGTTTTTAGAGACCTGCATAAGGATTATCACATCATTTTTCAAATGTAATTCTTTGTCCTTTCTACATTTCTCATTTTCTCATATTCCCACAGAATAAAAGAGGTCACGTATTATATTATATATGATATGCTTGGCTTGTGTGAAATATAACAGCAGAACATAGAATTTAATTGGCCTTCCAAGTACCAACTCTTTTAAACCAAAGGATTGCACATTTCAGAAATTCTCAAGAGGAAGGGAATCAAGAACACACTTGAGCCATTTTACAATTTCTAAGGAATTGAATGAGGTCCAATTCACACAGAGATCCATATGAGGATATTGGACTATGGACACATGAGAACATTACCTTGTATCTTGCACATTTGATCTTTTGGTAAGTAGATTAAGTGGCTTCTAGCAGGTTAGAGTAGAGGGTCTCACACAGTAATCCACATTTGCCTCTGGGTCACCTGTGCTACCAGGATGCCTATTATGGAATCCCAAGACACCTCCCCCAAGCAGTTCTGTCTGAGGGTGCATGGTAAGCCCTACATGTTCCAGTGTGTGCACTCTAACCTATCATCCATGGTGATTCCTCCATCTGCTTCTCTAGAAAACCCCCGCTGCTCTGGGAGTCTTGGATCACAGACTATCTTTATCCCTTGTTGACTGAGCCTGGATAGGACCAGGGGATAATGGGGAAGTGGGGACACAGCACATCGAGAAACAAGACAGTGATCTGCCTGCTTTACAGTATTGGATAATGAGGGAAAAATCAAGAACTATATTTCTTATGTGCATCTCTCACTTCAATATGCTTTTTATTACAGAATATAACAACACTTATACTACATCAAGAACAGAAACAACCTTGTAATTAGATACAGTTAATCTGAATCAAATTATTCTAAGAACAACGTGGTCAACTCTGAGGACATCAATTTCTTAATTTATAAGATAAAAAGTACTACCTAGTGAGGTATGAAAATTATTTATTTTTTATCAAAGTGTGCTACCTATTCTATATAAGCTGTATTATTATCATTTATCATTTCACATTAAATTGGAAATATTGCAGAGAGTATATTTACTTAAAGAGAATGTGCATTGTTGAGCTCTTTTTCTAACTGCTGACAAATAGAAAGAACCAGCAGTGTAACTGCTAACACAGGCAGATGATTTGCCCTTCACTTGCATTTCCTTCCTCCACAACCAGGGATTTCCAGACCTGAGTGATGGCCATTGAGAACTGCACCGTGTTTACAGACTTCATACTCTTAGGACTCTCTAGCAGGTGGGATGTGCAGCAGGGGCTCTTTGCGCTCTTCCTGCTGGTTTATGGCATCACTGTGATTGCCAACCTAGGGATGGTCCTACTGATCAGCATGGACCCCAGACTCCACACACCCATGTATTATTTCCTGAGCAATCTGTCTTTCTGTGATGTCTGCTACTCCTCCTCTGTCTCCCCAAAGATGCTGGCTGATTTCTTATCTCAGCAAAAGAAGATTGAATATAATTTATGCGTGCTACAGATGTTCTTTTTTGGTGTTTTTGCAGATGTGGACTGTGTCATGCTGTCTGTCATGGCATATGACCGTTATGTAGCCATTTGTAATCCACTTCTGTATACAGTTACCATGTCCAGGAGAGTGTGCATCCAGCTCATGGCCACTGCCTACACTGCAGGTTTTGTGGTTACCACCATCATTACATATTGCACAACTCGATTGTCATTCTGCAAGTCCAATATCATCAATCATTTTTTCTGTGATTTGCCACCCTTACTAGCCCTCTCCACCTCAGACACAACCACCACTGAAATAGCAATGACCATTGCCTGTAGTTGTATTGTGGGGTCCAGCCTCATCACTGTCCTCCTTTCCTACAGCTATATCATAACTACCATCCTTCGCATGAAGTCAGCCGCAGGCAGACACAAAGCCTTCTCTACCTGTGCCTCCCACTTAACAGCAGTAGCTATATTCTATGGGACACTCATTTTCATGTATTTCCAACCTAGTTCCAGTTACTCCAAGGACACTGACAAAGTGGCCTCTGTTTTCTACACAGTTGTCATCCCCATGTTAAACCCACTGATCTACAGTTTGAGGAATAAGGATGTGAAAGGTGCCCTGAAAAAAGCTGTTGGCACTAAATTGTGTACTGGGTGTAAGTGTGTTCAGTGAGAAAGGTTTTATTTGCAGATGTTGACAGCTAAAGTTTATGGACATTGGCACAGTTTTCTGTAGTCTCACAAGTACAATTCTGGATATTTCCTTACCCACTTTTGTGCCTAAACTGAATGTGTAGAATTAGTCATCATGAATCTTTATCTCTTTGAACAAAAGGAAAGAAGTAATAGGTTTACTGTACTGTTTTGCAAAGAGGATGTTTGTGTACCACTCTCCTCTCTTCATCAGTGTATATATCCCAGAATGATATGGGCATAGTACCATCTTCCTCCATGTTTAAAGTTCCAGTTTTTTAAGCAATGGTTTTAATAAATTTGCTGAGCCAGAAGGGAGTTTTAATAGTTCAAGTTAGCTTTCATTTTATTCTTCCTCTGTACTTGTATCATCCTATAAATTTCCCATTATAACACTTAGAAGTAATAAGTAGTAAATGAAGGAATGAGAATAAGTTATATTTCTTCTGCTTTAGATCAGAGTCCCATAAATGCAAGGCTTTTGTCTGTCTTGTTCACTGGTATTTCTACTTTGTCATTTACCATGCTCATTTTCAGGATGCCATTCAAAAACATGAATGAAGGTGTGTCCTCTGCAAGACAGATGTAAAAAGCAGCCTTTGTGAATGAAGAAAGAACATAGCTTTGTTTTGTTTTATTTTAGCATGCTCATTTTACACAGAATTCACCTCTACTTCTTCTTTGCCCAAGGCTGAGTGAGTACCAGGGACACAGATCATGTCATGTAGACAACTTCTCAGACCCTCTATTTCTGATCACTCTACCCCAGGGGTCAGCAGGATCAGCAGCTCTATATTCATGTGGCACATCATAGCCTTCACATCAGACTCTGGATTTGCCCCTTTCCCTCACTCTGGGGAACAGATACATGCCCTTGACAACTCTACAGAAACTGTATGAACAATGCTTAGGGGTCTAGGACCTTGACCTTCTCTGATAGTCACTATCTTCTTAATGTATAAAGTGTGCTTAATGTATATTACTTTATCTCCCTTTACAACATGCTCATAGCCTTATACTAATTAACATTTTTGAAAACATGAAATTCCCAATTGATATAGTTTAAGTTGAAGAGTTATTAACAAAAATTTATGTTTGATTGAGAAAAAAACACAACCAAGTATTATTTATATTACTATTCCAGTTGTAATGCCTTAAATTGGTTCTCTTTCAATCTGTGAAATAAACTGTAACCTTAGTCTAAACACAATTTAATAGTGCTCACTTCTTAGTGGTTTGATGTTCAGTAATGCTAAGATCTATTTTAATACCTTAAGATGATTGTACTTGGTATTTACATTATTATTGAATAACAATTAATACTGTTATAAAAACATTATACAATCTCAGGTTCTCAGAATATTCATTTAACTTTAAGGTTGTCTTTTTATAAAAAAAACCTGGAGGTTCTCTCTTCTTTTGGAAGACAGAAAAATAGACTTCACAAGGCTTCTCATTTAGGTCATTTTTTCTTTATATACATGCACACACCCCTTTAACATATAAAGTGTGCTTCATGTACGTTCTTCAATTGTCATAAGAATGAAACAACACACTTCTCACCTCTGGTTAAATGTCCCATTCTTAAGTCACAAACCACTATCTCCTTTCAGCATTGTACTCATATCATTCCGTTATTATATGACCATCTCCTATATGACATTGTGAGTGTTCTTAGCTCAGGGAGTGAGCATTCCATGTCTATTATCCAAATACATGCATGGTGTCAGTGACACAAAATGAAAAAACAGAAAAATATATGCTAAAATGAAGTACTTGATAACATTTTATTTCTTGTTAGATGTCACCAAAACAACAAGTGTCAGGGTGTAAGGCTTGGCAATACATAATTCATCATTCTCCAGAAAGTACATAAATGGCTGAGGATGCTAAAGTGATGGATCTGTAAAGACCTACATATGACTTACACTCTAAGTAAAGAGGATTCATATTTGAACATTCCTCAGATTTGTCTGTTTCATCTACCTCTGCCTGTTTCCACGGGATATATATTATGAGCAACAGTATAGTAGAATACATTGTATTTTTTAAAGCATTATCCAAAAACATATATTTTATAAAAGACCATACTCACAGGATGGGTGAAAGTTGATGAGAGTATAAGGGTGATAAATGGTAATGAAAAAATGCAATGAAAATTAACTATTAAAAATATCCTCACACAAATGAACTACATTAGGAGAATCAGCTTTTAATGGTTGTACATTTCTATAATCTGTTGAATATACACCAGTCTAACAAGAGAAAATATATCAGAACACACATTTACTGAGTCATTACTCATATAATTTGTATGCTAAGAATTCTGAGAATGTAGAAAAACATATCTATACCCATATAGATTAGATAGATAAAGTGATAGATTTCAAACACATACATACATGTATTTGTAAAATACAAAAATTTTGTACCAGGGGAATTCAATGTTATACAATTAAAGAAGAGAAGTTATACTACCCCACAAAATGCCACTTTGACATACTGATTACTTTGAAATACAGTTACTCAAGAAAGCTGCTCTCTTGTCATACATTGGAGACAACATGAGTCCCTTGGTTCACATATCCTTTGCATTTATTCTGAAGCACTGTGATGAAAAATGTTGTGAATCATTTTGTCTGTTGTCCCCTCCCCTGCATAGCATAAGCCAGCCTGCACAGACACATCATTTAATGAGTGGCATCTCTCCACATAGGGCAACTAATGGACATGGTTTCATCACATCATCATCTCCTACTTTTTCACCCTTTTCTCAGTCTTAAATCCACTTTATTACTGGGAGGAGGAAAACATTCTCTTTATGGGCGTCTCACCTGACTTCCATGTCCACTCGTTAGGGAAGTCCTCTCCTAGTATTAGTAAATTTGTCTCAGTTCCACACGAAGGTCATCCTTGTGCTGAGTTGTTGATTTACAGCTTGACAAACAAATACGTAAATGACACCACTAAGAAAGCCTTGGGTGTGAAGGAGGATTCCTTGTGAGATACAACTTTCCAAGATGCATCTAATTCCCTACTCACAAGCTTTAACAGACAACCCCCAACAGCCTGACCAGGACACACACAAATTCTCTCACAAGAATTTCACCAAACACTCGTTTTTCACATGGTCCAATGCAGTTTATAGCTCCAAAGTATAAGAAAACATTTAAAATTCTTAAAATTGCTGCTTAAAGTTAATTTGGCAATGGATTATAACTAGTTGTCTTAAAGGATATAGTAAACCTCAGAAAAGTGTGTGGATGTGCATGTGTGTGTGATCATGTGTAGATTATCCATTGACAAAGGTAGATCATTGGATGAGGGAAGAAGCCGGATTCCCTTGATTCATATGCCAGCTCTGTGCCCAGATACTGAGTGGCACTTTGATTAAGTTACTTAATTTTTCTATGCCTCAGTTAACTCTCTGTGAAATGGGGAGAATATAGTACCTGTCATTGATTATTACACGATTAACTAACTGAAGGTGGAGAAGACTATCTAAGCCATTTGATGCACTTCATCAATGTTCATCATATATATAGTCTATGACCCAAATAACAATCTTAGAATTATCCTCAAGGGAAACCAATGAATATGTTCACTCCAACACATGTACAAAATATTCACCACTGAATTATTTACAACAGTATAAAAGAGAAAACAACACAGTTTTTCTCAACACATTATATCAGGAGTTGACAAACTTTTCCTTAAAGCAACAAGTAGTGCATTTTTAAAGATTTGTAGGCTATCAAATTTTTCCACAACCACTGAGATTTGCTTTTCTTTCATAAAAGAAAACATCAATGATATACAAAGAAATGGTGCATCCCAACTTCAATTAAGCTTTATGTGCTGTAGTTTGCTGACCCATGATCGAGGTTTGGCACATTACTTCATGATGAGTTTCTGCATTGGAAAACTACCCAGCAACGAAAATGAATGAACTGCTTCCACATACAACAGCACAGAGAAATTTTATAAACATAGTGTTGAGTGAAGCAAGCCAGACAAAGGTGTATAAAAAATTATATGACTTGATTACTGTATACCTCAGAAACATACAAACTGATCTAGCATACTGGACATCAATTTGTGATGGGTGTGGGGAGAATTTCTGAGATGGTAATGATGTTCTTTTTCTTTTGGCCTCATTCTGTGTGCACACACCAATATATTTTTTTCTCGGCCACCTCACTTTCATTGACTTCTGCTACACAACAGTAAACAGCAACTGGACCCAGAATGTTGGTAGGTTTCTTTGCCAAGATGCCAATTCTCTTCTGTGGCTGTTGTCTGAAATTCCTCATCTTCTGCACCTTTGCAGAGTCTGAGTGTCTAAATCTGGCAGTAATTGTTGGGAACCACCCTGACTGGTATCAGAAGCTGAAACCCCCGCCTAGGCTAAGGCTAAGGGAACGCCCTTGGAACCATGAGCCAGCAAGGAGACAAAAGCTTATCTCCCTGGCAGGAATGCTGCTTCTGCTGCTTTATTCATAACTAAACCCCCAAAAAGCTTGGTCAGTTAGCCAAAGACAGGGTAAGATTCCCCAAGGGGGGGGACCGATCTAAGACAGGCATGATCACTTTGGGTGGCCCCCCAAAAGAAGGACTTGGGGGGCTGCAGCAAAAGGGGGTGATGGACCCTCGCTCCTCGGCTTTGACATAGCTTGAGTTCTCATCCTCTGGGAGAAAATCCCCTTATCTTTTGGTTGCCTTAGTTCCCATGCTCCACCTAAGCCTGAAACAATGACAGGGTGGTGCAGCTCTGTGCTGAAAAGGGCGGATTCCCCAGGTGATCAGGCCTAAGAAAGAACATGTAAATTACTGTGAAACCTTCTTTGTTTAGAATGCTCTCAGTTGAATGAGAGGGGTCCAAGGAGGAAGTTAGTTTGTTCCTCAAAGTCTTACAGCTCTTTGACCCCTACTCAAAATAGACCCTCAGACTTCCTTGTTTTCTATGGTTCCTTACTTCCC